GTAGACTGTATTCAGGACGGCGTCTGAACTTTCACTAACTCCATATATGGTATTATGTACGGGGTCAATATCTACGACTATGCAGTAATCGCTGCACATGACATCCAACAATAGGGATATGGCCCACGCCACGTCCCTATCTACTAACGGTCTCATAATTATCAACTTGCCAGCACCATTTCTGAATAATGAAAGTCGTGTAATCTTTTTTCTGTTGGAAAATGAAGTTGTTGTAGGGTGGAATCAAATGGAATTGAAACGTGTCCATAATTGTCGTGCTCCTTCCAACTTACGTCATGTAAAACCGTGGCTAAGATTGATCTATTAAAGAGAAACTGTATTTAAGTATTTCAAACTAATTTGAATGATATAGGTAGATTTGGTGGTTTAAATTTTGTGGAAAGATTTAGGAATTATGTAGATTTTGTTGTTAAGGCGGTAGGGAGAGATTTTAGGGATTTCGTTTGAAATATGAGCTGTGGAGGGATAAATAAGAAATTATACACCCCTCCCAAACGATCTTCATTCCGACAATTGTTGAACTAATGGAAGTGATTTTGGTAGTAAAAATTATTTTTTCATAATCGTCCTGACCTTAAATTTTATGCATGTATTTAGCTTTTACATTTTAAAAAGTTATTAAAAAGTCTTAATGACATGGTTAACATACATGTAAGTGTTAAGTTTATAAAGTTGACATGGACTTGGATATAAAATAAAAAATTTAATGATCAAAAGGACATTGTTTATGCAAAAATCTGCACAACGATATTTCATGAACCAAGTTCGAACCCGGTCTCCGGTCTCGACCTGAACATTAAAGGACCTACACAAGAGGGTAAAACACTCCGACGTTCAAGTCAGTATAGGTCGGACTCCGTATTTAGTTCGAGGTGAGATTCGATACTTGAGCGTGAAATGAGACCCTCTATTTATAGGTGGGGATCCGACAGTACACACGAACGGCGATTACATGTTTTTTCTCATGCTGGACCTGTCGGGTTCCGAGTAGATCGAACCCCAATCAGATCGAGCTTCGGCATGTATATTTAGCATGTTCCCTAATGGGTGAACCCGACCTCTTCGACAGGTTCGAGGTGGACCTGGGATATTTAATCCTTATAACACCAGTGAGCGTCCTCTACGTGTCCAAGGTATTTTTACCACCCAAACAGACATCATCTCAAAGTTTTAAGAATCTATAGTAGAATAAAAATTTTGTAATTTATATATGTAGAATCTTGATATTTTGAAATGCATGTCACTGTCAGACTATGATTTTGAAATTTGAGTACRGGGATGAAGCTGAAATATTGAAGACGGCCTAATTTTATTAATAATTTGGATGGATATTTATTTAGAAAAAGAAAAATAAATAGATATTATTAATTATTATAGAGAAATTGTCAACCACTTTTATATTTTCCAAATATGGCAAAATATTTGAAATTTTATTTTCGGAATTTTTATTATTCCAGTTTTACCCTTATGATATCTGATATACACCCGATGTATATATGATAGACGCGTCCAATATATCTTTGATATACTTCCGATCTACATCTGACGTACATCCGATGTATCTCTGATATACATTAGATGTATGTATTATACATCTGATGTACCTCAGTTTATGATATACTAAATATATTTGTAATGATATATCTATGTATATCTTATCTGATATATATCCAATGTATATCTGATGTATATTTGATGTACATCTAGTGACATACTGAATATATTTGTAACCGATATCTGATATACATAAGTAGATATCAGTAGATTACAGATACATCAATGTTAGATATCACTAGATCTCATGGTTATATCAATGGTAAATTAAAGACATATTAAGTATATATCATAGATGCATCAAAGTTATATTAGTGGTAAATCATATAATCATATGAGAAGTTATATTAGTAGATATCATAGTTATATCAGTGGTAAATTAAAGACATATCAAGTATATATCACAGATATATAAGTGTTATATCAGCATGGTAAATCGATGGTAAATTATATAATCATATAAGAACTTATATCAGTAGAAATCATAGTTATATCATACTAATATTAGTAGTAAATCATATTAGAAGTTATATTGGTAGATATCATAGATATATCAGAAGTAAATCAATTGTATATAAGTATTATATCAGTGGTATATCAAATACATATCAATAATATATTACACATATATTAGTTGTAAATCAATAAATAGTAAATAATATAATCACATAAGAAGTTATATTAGTAGATATCATAGTTATATAAATGATATATCAATTGTATATCAGTAGTAAATCAGATATATATTAAGTATTATCAGATATATATATATATCAGTGCTATATCAATGGTATATCAATGCTACAGGGGTAAATTTGACATTTTATTATTGGACCTCCATTTTTTCTAAAAATTTTGCTATATTTGCAAATCCAAAATGTTGATGCTAAATTTGTTATCTTCTTAAATTTTTTTGCCATATTTGTAACTGCCCCATTATTATATAGCATTATAGAATTGTGAGGTGGATATTTGAAATTTACATGTAGAAAATGTTAGGCTAAATTAAAATTATAATCTCTATCTTCTGAGAGTTTCAAATGATTTCCTATAGTTTAGTTTAGTAAAACATCACAAATCTTTGGTAAGCTATATTAAAAAATTAACTAATTTTTTTATTTATCTATTTAGATCAAAACTATAATACAGTTAGTAATCACGACTCAATCCATAAACTCATTGTCATATAAATAAATAAATACAGATCATGTATTCAATGTAATAATAATAGTAACAGTTTTGTATCTCTGACCAAACAATAGGAATCAATTTGAAACAAAGTCCAAATTATAGATATTAAATTAAAATTTAAAATAATAACTAAATTGAAAATCACCTGTCAACCTAAACATAACTCAAACATAAAGACCAAAGCGAGAATAACTCAACGACATATATCTCTACAACAAACTCAATTAGTATTAAATTTTCATACATGTCCATAAAATTTTCACATATCTTGAAAATACATTTGAGTTATTAACCAAATTTAAAAAATAAAAACAAAAATTTCAAAACATTTTTTTTTGTTTTTAAAATTTGACCTAAATTTTGAAAATATTTACAAAGACTATATAACAAAATAAAAAGTAACCTAGATAAAAGTAATATTTTTAAGTTTAATTTTTAAAAATCAAAAACCAAAACGAAATGTCATTATGATTTTTTTTAACGATATTTCTAAAATATACATCATTATAAAAATTTTATCGATATTTTCATCGACATTTTAATATGCTAGAGTTCAACATTTTCATACATGGGAGAACGAACTCTTAAAAAAACAAAACAAAAAACAAAAATAAATTAGAAAAAAAAAATCCTTAGAGACGAAGAAAAGAAAAGACCCACCACGTGAAGCAAATAGAAAGCCAGATTGCAGCTCCTCCATTTCCATCTCCGCCGCTTCTCCGACGAACGCAGAATTATGAGTTACTCTTACGCCTACCACCACCACCACCAGCCGGAATCCTATCCTCCGCCTCCTCCCGGTGAGATTTCTCCTCCTCCTTTTTCTTTCCTCTTTCAATTTCCCTTTTCTTTTCTCTCATTTTTGTTCTTCTCTCTTCACAGGCTCTGCTCCGCCGTATCCTCCGTCGCCGCCGCAGCCGCAGTCTGGGTATCCCGGCCCCCCACCGCACCAAGGCTACCAAGGCTATTTCTACGATGGATATCCGGCCCCGCCGGGCCCTCATCCTCCTCCTCCGCCGGGCCCTCCTCCTCCGCCTTATTATGATCACTATCACTACAATGATCGAGATGAATGCTCCTCCTTCCTTCATGGATGGTACGTTTTTCCATTTCTTCAATTCGATTCAATTCCTATTGTGATTGATGATCATTTGTTCCGACGCCTTCGATTTCTATGCTTGTCCGTGTGATCTTGACGATTCTGCTTTTAAGTTAAAATCGATTGGATTGGAAGAGATTTGTGGATTTGTTTGCATTCGGAATTTTGGGAATTCTATTTTCCTTCCCACTGCTTGTATATGGCTGTTGACCTTCGTGAGCACCAAGGGGATTTTTTCTTTTTCTTTCATTTCGATGGGTTTCTTCTCCTACAATGTGTTTAGAAGTAATCTAGCATTTTCAATGCATTTGATGCACTCGATCGATCTAAGGATATTACAGAATCAGAAGGGGCAATCCTGAACCAACCATCTTCATTCTTGTTAACATGAAATAAGCAGCATTTTTCTTAGTTTAGGCAGCAAAAGGGAAAGGTAAATTGATCATGTATGTTTAATATTGGTGCACGGAGCATCAGATGCTACTCCATTAATGCTTCTTTATGATTCAATCCTTTGTTCCTCTTTGTTCCTCTTTTTCGTTTTATAGCTTTGATAAAACCAATTGAATTGGACTGTCTGTTTGTCAATCTCATTCTGGAAAATGTGGGGTCTATTATCTCTAATTTGTTCCCTTGCAATTTCGTTTTGCTTTTTATCTTTTGTTCATGTCCGCAGGGTGGAGTTGCCTCTTCTTGGTTCGTCTTAGGTTAAAATAATTATATAAAAAAATGTTAAGATTTTAAAGTTTGCTCCCCCATTATCTCTAATATTTGTTCCCTTGCAACTTGGTTTATCTTTTTCTCTTTTATTCATGTTAGCAGGGTAGAGCTGCCCCTTCTTGGTTCATCAAAAAATAGTTAAGATTTTAAAGTCCCCCAATTTTCAGAAGGGGAAAATTTTCTTACTGCCCTGCCTCTCTACTTTGGGTTTGCTTCTTTTCCTTGTTGGGTGGAGGACTTGTATAAAACTTGGATGCTTTTTTTTGGTGTTTTTTTTCCTCTCTTTTTCTAGATATTTGTGAGTGTCTGGGCCACCAGCGTATGTGAACTCATTGACCCTTATTCACCACTAGGGCAACCCATGATGTTCCCTTTTTGGGTGTTTATTTTAAAGAAATAAAAAGAAGAATATCCAACAAGCCTTACTTTCTAGCCATGGATAACTTTTTAGTACTTACCAAGCTTATGCCATGTTTTCCCATGGATGATCTCGTAGACAGCTGAGATATCTTATGCTTGGGAAGTTTAATTTTTTTATTTATTCATTCTTTTTTTTTTTTTAATTAGAAACCAAGAAAAAAATGAAAGAGAACAAATGAATAAGGCAAGGACTAAAAGCCTAAAACCAGGAGAGCACCAAAACTAAGTAGGGGCCCAATCAAAATAATGAGACCTAACAAGTAATTAGTCTGTAGAAATCAAAGCTCAAATGAGGCATTAAACCTAGCCAAATACCACACTTCCTCCCAAGAATCTTTCCCCCATCCCTGAAAATTCTATTATTCCTCCCTAACCAAAGACCACATAAAACTGCAAAGAAACTAGCATGCCATAAAATCCGGCCCTTATTCCAGAACAGAGTAAATAGAAGGGCATCCTCCACCATAGATCTACAATCTCTGCTCTTAGCCAAACGCACTTCAAACATTTGAACGAAGCTGTCCTCAAAGGATGTGATTTAGATCCTCAGCCGTGTTCCTAGAAAGACAGCACTACTATGGCCCGACTACAAAAGAAGAATGTCTCGCCATGCAGTCTAGGGTGTTCACCCTCCCAAGTAAAACTTGCCGACCATAGAATTTGACCTTCCATAACAAGGAGAACGAAAAGCAACCCAAAGGAGAAGGATCATTCAAAAGACGAAAAAAAGAGCAGCATGAGAACCCCCTAGTCAACCTTCATGTAGCATCTTTTAGCTTTTACTAACAGATATGGAAAACCTATAGAAATGTGGAAGCAAATATGGATTCATGAAGCCTTTATGATATCTGTGATAACCTTGAGCAAGCGAACATCTTTTCTGAATTAATTTGGTTCAATATATAAATATCAGTGTTCAATTCAACTAAATTTTGATTATGAGAAACATGAAACTTCCTTGGTTATGCAGTTTAGCTACACTGTGTTGTTGTTGTATGTTGGAGGAGTGCTTGGCCTGCTTCCGATAGACATTGCAAGCTCGGTGTTCTTCACTCACAGACCGTGCTGCGTTCATATCTTCTATTATGAATTAAGGCCTGTTTTCGCATCACTTGAAATAAAACTTGTAGTTTCCCAGGTTGTTTTATTGTAAAATCTATCTGTGTTGTTGTTTGATATCTAAAAGCTCTTATTTACTTGTACACATACCTAAACAATTAATAGTTAATATTAGTAGATTTGGATTCCCAACTGTTGTCATCCAGATTCAACTTCTCTAAGATTTTGATGCAAATTTTCTGGGGAGATTTTATATAGAAAGAAGGATATGCTATTTGAAACTGGTTTAATGCTCCTTAATCTTCTTCCTTTTTTTTCCCTTCATTTGGTATCTTGACTTATTATTTTTTGGTAGCAAATTACTGTTTTCTTTAACCTTTTGACTATATGATCATGAAGCTAAAACATCTGAATAAGCAATAATAAGCACAATCAGGCACTTTTTGGTATTACAATTTACAAGCAACATGTAAGTGTCCAATATCCTTTTTATTCTTTAGGGTAGTTCTGGAAATGAATTTATATGATTGATGAGTATTATTAATTACTACTATTAAGACTCTTCCTCTTGAAAATTTATCAGTTTGTTCTTTAACTTAGCATAAGTGTGTATATTTAATCTTTAAATATTAAAAAAAAAAAAAAAACTTAGGACCTTTGGTATGCCATCTGAATAAGTAATTCAAAAGCCAAGAGTTTCAATCTACAATGTCCACACAAACTTTGGTGCATCTTTCCTTGGCCCTACTAATGTACGGTAGAGATACATTTTTTCTACTCCCTTCCCGTCGCCATGGCCGAGTTTCGATGGATCATTCTCAACGATGATCTCCACGTTCGGCATCTTCTTCGCTAGAGTCTTGCAGCCACCAAGAGTAATCTCGCAGGACGATCCATTTCGATGGATCATTCTCAACGATGATCTCCACGTTCAGCCTCGGCATCTTCTTCGCTAGTCTTGCAGCCACCAAGAGTAATCTCGCAGGACGACATCCAAAGGGATCGCATTGTTTCATACTTCCCAACGTCCTGCAGAAGTGCCATGTCTCCGAATGGGCTGTCCATGATCTCGAGCTTGCGAAGTTTCTTGCAACCGTTAAGCACATGAATCATTCCCTTGTCAGTCCCCCCAGCAAATGCTAGGGAAAGCATTTCCAGATGCTTTGCGTATTCGCCAATGTAATAGAAGACCTGATCTGAAAGAAGGCCCGAGAGAGATAAACGTCTCAATCCTTTGCACGCTTGGACGATCGCCCCAAAACCTTCATCCAGTGGCTGATTGGTTACAGGGTCCGGATTCGTGGGGTTGGCGATGTACAACCTGAAGCGGATGAGGTTTGGGTTGTTCTTGGCCACAGTTACCAGGGCAGCATTGGTCATCTGATGGCAGAAGTATAATATCGAATGAAGTTTCGGGCAACCCATCGATATAGCAACCAAACCTTCTTCTGT